CTTATAGTTGCAGTTCCCGGTTGTCAATCCCGAGCAATCCCGTATAGTATTATCATACAAGAAACGTGTTACGCAAGGCACCATACAGTGGGACTGTACGCATACAGGAATTGCCGGCGTCTTCTTCGGTGCGACCTGCATATCCGTGTCAGTATGTGTGTATTGTGTGAATAAATTTTTTTCTTACAAATCCGGTTTTAGAGGATTTCACTCTGACGCATCTACGACGAAGAAGACCGTGCCAGCTGAATTATGTTTCTACCTCTAGACGTAATATTGTGCATAATAACAATTATAATAATTGTGTATGTGCGACACGTCATCGATTTCAAAACTTTTTTTTTTTTGGTAACTGCATCGTACACAATTACGGTGTATTCTAGTTAAATCTTTGAACGGAGCGCTCGGGTTATATCCATGCAATTACGAACTGATGAAAATTGAGAATAGTAAAAAATTTTTGAAAAAATCATACACAATATTATGTGGAATTTGCAAGTGCCCACCACGAAACAAGTATGCATTGTTTGGAAGTTTTTGTATGAAAATAAATTTAAAATAATTTCCGTGGATTTTTGAATAATAAATTATTACCATAATTACTACAATTTTAATATGCGAGCAAGAACTTAAACCATAACACGTAATTAATGCCGTAAAGAACGTAAATGAAAACAGTTTGTAGGTTAATGCATATGACAATGATTATGGAAACGTTACAACAGAACTTGTCCACAACTTAACTACCAGCGTCATAATTAGCAGGTATCGGTTATCCAAAAAGCAATAAATAATTTATTATCAGATTGTCAGACGCACGAGTTATTAACAAGATCGGTCATTGAAACCATAAATCCCGGTATCATCCGAGTGTATGCGTGACCTTGCTAGTAACTAATGATACAGTGCTGGTCAGTCGATATTGTAAATGAAGAAAACTTCGGTTTGATATCATGAACACGCTCGGAAGCGACTAGGAATTTCTAGATATTACTATACATGCAATAATGGTAGTTAGGGTGATTCCGCCAAAATTAATAGTTAAAATGTAATACCCAAATAACTCGAATACGCAGTCGCTTAACAAACTATCCCGAAAATATGATGACACCCAAAATATACACAAATATTACAATGAATATGTCATATATGATATATAGTGCCCCTATTATCTAACCTTAAGTTTAGAATTTTGTCTTATATTTTTATTCATACAGTATAGAAGATTGTACCAATACTATATTAAATGTTATATAAGGTATTCATCTAAATATTTATATGTGTATTTTGTAAAATGTTCAATAGCTTGAAAATCAAGTACAATGTATCACATTAGTTGTTCTTATACCAATTTAGAAATATCGAAAATACAAAGGAACAATATTATTTTGAAGATTGAAACAAAAAATAATAAATTTTTCTTCAATTGATTTTATTTTTTTATAATTCAAAAATACAAAACGCATATACTTGAAACTTTTTAACATTTCGGTGTACCTATATTTTATTATTTCTAATACACAATAAAATTTTCAAAATATTTAAACTAATTTTAAGCTATTTATACCAAAAACCTATTAACACCATTCCATGATACGTCAATATTGACTTCTAAGTTGCATGCAATATTTTTGACAAAAATTATTTCAACATACCGAATTTAAATTTTAAAATATATAATATTATACATAAATCAATAACATATCCTTAACAATCAATGATGATCCATCCAATCCGTTTTCTTCGCTCAAAATAAATTTGTGAACACAATCATTTATCAAAAATGAATATATTAATATTAATGAATATAAATTTAATCAATCCATTATTCTATAACGAGATATTTAATACAATAAAAAAAACTTTGTATAACAGTGAATTCCTCAGCTTTTATTAATTAAATTTTTCTTATTAAATATAAATTTTTTACAAATTGAAATAAAATAAAAATATAAATTATTTTTAAATAACCTTGTGTTGGTTTTTCAATGATATGGCATATTTTTTCGTATCAAACGACACCATATACAGCAGAAAAAACCTAAACTTTTAAAGAAGTGTTTGGTAACCTATCGGATTCAATCGGTACTTTAAGAGGTCAAAAGTAAATATTTTTCGGACTCAAAAATAATCGGGTAAAAAACTTAAAGAAAACAATAATTTTTCAAAATCAGTTTTTTTCGTTGGAATTTTTATCATAAATTATTATTTATAACTACTAAAGACTTAGATTTTTCATAAAATATTTGTATTATCATTTTTTAAAAATGACATAATTTTCAAAATACAATAATTATAATTATTTTAATTTATAATAACATTTCAACTTTTATTCGATTTTTTTTTCAATTATCTATATTATGATAAAAAAAAAAAAAAAAAAAGATGAGTGAAATAAAGCTTAAAATATTTCTATACATTCTATACAAATTTCCTCATAAGTTATTCCTACTTCAATTAAAATATTATACAGAAAAAATATAAACTTCTTTTTATAAGTGTTTAATTTTACAATTTTTACTAAACTTACCAAAATAACTAATTTATGTAAATTATTTTGTAATTAAAAATTTTAACACAAGGTTTTTTACAATAAACTAAAAAAATAATAGTAATTTTAACGGCATTGGTTATTCACTCTCACATAAAATAGCAATTATTATAATTTTATTGTAATTAAAAAAATGTCAATAACTGTAAAAACTATTGTAAATAGTTTAATTATTAATTACTAGTATTGTTATTATTTATTTCTATCGTGTTAACTTATTTTTATTGTATACCATATGCGTACAGATTAATATAATTTTCTATGTTAAAAATTTATAAAAAAACAATCGTAAAAACTTGAAAAATTTTATATATACTACTAAATTATTATTTTCTTTATATTATACATTATGATGTTTTCAAAATACATAGACTAATTTAAACTATTTATAAATATATGCATTTTTCAAATTAATTTAGTAAAGTTTTACATAAATATTGATAACAATTTAAGCTAAGCCAAATACTACCATATATTTAATACAGTTATATTACGAAATAATATTTTATAAATAAATAATTTCTGTGTAATGTACTAATATGATTTTCTGTCAAAAATTAGTTAAACTAACCATTATATTATAAATAAAAAAATAAATGACTAATATTTATATAAATACATCATAAAATATCCGTAGAAATATAGAGTAACAAATGGGATGCCGTTTTTGCTAAACCTTGTTTTTAGTATATAACCATATACAATGATCTGTTATAAAATTCAAATTTAACACATCAATTAAGTAAGTAGCAGATATATTATTATATTGATCTACGCAATGGCAAAATTTACTCGATACCTCCTATACAACAGAACAACTTCCTCGGTTTTTTTAATTGTTAGATTAGTAGATACATGTACTTTTATATAAATGATGTAATACATATAAGTTAAAAGTCTCTATTTAAATGTCTAAGCTCATTGATTCAAAAAGCTGGAACTTTTTTTTATTTTATTTTACTTGTTTTTAATACAAAACAACTTTTTATTTTTATTATTTTTTTTAAGTTTATACTTTATTGAATGATAATTATCATTATATTAACATAAGTTTTTAATTTGAAGCTCCAAATCAGAAATATTTAAGTTATAAATGATTTAAGTTTTGAAAAGCAGTGTAGTGGACCTACATGGACCCAGTCACCCAGATAGATGCAAATCATCAGCCTCAATTTGAGTAATGATCGTTTCCAAAATGTTTGAGTACTCTGTATAATTATTGAACTATTTGGAACATTTTATGTACATGCATTTAAATATTAGCTATCTAAATTAATAAAATTATCTTATAGATTTACTTTTGTCTAATAATTTTGAACTGAAGAAAAAATTTATAAAACTTTTACATTTATTCGTTTTAATTTTTATAAGAGAAAAACTATCAACAATTTAAATATCGTAATATTTAATAGTAATTTTCCAATCTGAAAATATTTATTTGAGAAATAGCATTCACATAAAATTCTTAAATGATACCTCTACCAATATTACTACTCAACTTCGCTCATCTAAAGTTTAAATATTAACTAATTAATTACATGCCCAATATTTAATTATATAGTATATACTATATATTTTATAAATATCTAGTCAATTTTAATAAAAATATTATATTTATATTTTTTTATCATTTTTATACACTTACATTAAATTTAATAGTTAACTGATTGATTGTCTATAGTACTAAATTATGAACTATGAAAATATAAACTATAATAGCTATATATTATCTCGCGATATTTAAATTTAAAATAACTATATTTTATGCAGCACATTTATAACACGAAAATATAATAATAATTGTATTTCGAGTATTTAACATTTAAATTATCCGAAGCTACTAGTTATTCGACATTTTCCATTATAATATGTTAATCGTAAAATATTAAATTAAGCAATGCATAATATTTTATGATTATAAATAATGTCATAGCTAGTGCGAGTGTTAGCTAATGATAGCATCAAATCTGTCCTGTTCCGTTTCGACAATTTTCAACATAAGTACTTGTATTTCATAACTGTTATTTAGCGATCAATATGTACATGTGCACACAGTATATATTATATATGAATGCTTATTGTGTATGAAAATGTGAATTAGTTGCCACATTGTTATTAATAGTACCACGTATCATTTAAATATTATTGCTATTTCGACCTTAGATAATTTACGACCGCTCCATTTTATTGTATTTTATTGATCCAAAATTTAAAACAAAACACATTTAGACCTGTCTTATTTTTTATCATTGAAAAATTGCTAAATATAAAAAAAAAGTTTTACCTCAATTATTTATGACCTACACAGCGTTTATTGAGTATTTAATATGTATATACAAAATACAAAATTAAACTTATAAACAAAAAAAGTTTCAGTATAATTTATTAATCTAAGTTAGTCCTAAAAAATATGTAAAATTTATTTATAATAGATGAATAATATACTCACGTCTGGTGTTCATTGTTAATTAAACATACTAGCAAAATGGAATTCATACAAAATAATAACTGATTTTTTTAAAGACAGCGTAGTGGGCGCAACGCGAAAACACCTCTAAAAGCATCGCATGCATACTAACTCGGAGGATCCTATTATACACCTGTACAGCAATATAACAGACAAACCATTATATTATGTTAGGTAATACGGCGGCAGGAGTAGCGTGTCTAGCGTATTTGAACTTTCACCTTGTCTCTACGCCAAAATCTACAAAAATAAATACACATTAGTATTCATATACCTAAGTATAAATATAGTATACATAAAAAATTATAATAAATATTAGTGATTTATCTTCACAATAAAATATTTAATTCTTAAAAATAATATACTTTATGCCTATTCATTGTACTAAGGTAGGTATTAACACAATATGATATGGGTGGGCATATTTGTGAAGGTGATTTTAAGTTATTCATGCAAATAAAACTATTTTTAAAACCATAAAACTTAATTTTATATTATACTACTTAAATATTATAAAATAAAATCATATTGTTATATTCATTTGTATGCAATTTTTTTTTTTACTTATAACATTTTTCGTTCATAAGTTAAGTATTTGAAACTGTGTTATTTTTTTTAATTTCTTCCCGCAACAATGGAACACTAAAGAAAAGTTTTATATTTCACCGATAAACCTGTATTTTCATGATCGTTTGCTTGATATCATAATATCAAACATTTTGAGATTTTCTTATATGCTACTAAATTTTATTACTAAAATGTAAAAAAATGTATTATAAATTTTGGTTTAACGGTGTAGATTACTAATCAAATACTTTATATATTTCGAAAAATACCATATTATTATAAACATTTCAAATTAAAAATTATAATATTATATCATACAATTTTTTTACATTTTTAAATTAGTTTTCTTCCATTAATATTTAAATAATAATAGGTAAATTCAATAACAATTCTAACAATATGAGAAACACTAATTTATAGGATACACATACATTAAGTAACAAAAATTATAGAAAGTACCGTCATGAAATTATTCATTAGTATAAAAATCTTTAGTCAAAGATAGTTCTGATACCTAGCAATAAGAAATAATTTTGATAGGAAACTAAAAAGATTAGAACTGATTCAAAAATCAGAATTCCATAACTAATAGTTATAAATATACATAAGTCATTTATATATATACATTATTATATACTATATATTAGCATTTATTTATTTTTATTTAAAAATAACTTACAGCACCATTGGCAATTGTGAATTTTTAATGTAAATTATAGTTTTTAGATAAAATCATGGTATATAATAAATGTTAGTTAAATAATAATACATTTGTAATAAATAATAATTTATGTATCAAATTATTTTTTTCAATTTTGACTAAATTTCTACAGTAAGGATAAAATGTTGAATAATGAAAATCCACATTGAATGTAAAGCGTATTTTTATTGTACATGATATTAAAGTATTTAAATGACTTGTGCTATAAGTGAAATTCTCTTTTTTCTCAAAATAATATATATGCATGTGAAGACAAATAAAAACAAAAATAACTTAAACTCCATATAAATTTTAATATAAAAATATAAGATGCATGTACCTAATACATATTTTTTTAAATTTTTTTTATTATAGAATATGTAAGCGAGAAAAAAAATATTGAGCAATAGTGCATAATATAACGTAAAAACATGTGACAAGTGGGTACTGCTCTGCTGTATATTATATGTATCGAGTGGATCACTATTATGGATGTGTTTAATTTGAATTAATGAATTTGACATATCATTGTTCTCGAAAAACGATTCTGAGCGGAGACAGTCTGTCAGTCATTTCACTAAGTATATTTCATTATATCTATTTTTAATATATATAGGTATTAAAGCCATTAATTTTCTTTAGTATTTCATTAGGTTGATAAAATGTTTTCCGAAAATATTAAATTTATTATATTATTGGTATTTAATTGTTATAATAATATAAATTTATATAGAATTATACCAAGATATATAACACAAAATTTATTTATATCTTTTTAAGAATACCATAAAACAGTAAAAGTAGATTCATAGTATAAATAGATAATAATATCTTTAAAAAAATCAAAAATGTCATTATGTATAGAAAAATTCATAATAGGTATACTTAAAAATATTAAGATCCTACAAATTATGTTTTAAATTATAACAAAATAATTAACAACATAAAAATCTTGTATTCAATTTTAAAAACTTAATACCTATTATAAAAAAAAAAGTTTTTATGCATTTCTAACTACAGAATAATTTATTAATTTTAATAAATTGTATCAACATTTTAACTTACAAAATGCTTATAAAAAATTCTTGTGACTCTAAATTTTCGATATTTTCATTTTCTAATTCAAAAATAACTCATGAGGAGCTATGTATCAAATTTTCAAGTAATTTTACCCAACAAATAATTTTTAATGAATATCCCTAGAAAAAAGAATTAAAATTTCTCATGTCTATAATAATTAGCTTAAAAGCTCAAATGGAATTTAAATGTTTTAAAATTTCTATCGTAAATATAAAATATAAACATTCGATGAAAAATTCAATTACTTACACTCTACAGCTATTCATTTTTGAATTAAACTAAAAAAATAAATCGATTTTATCAAATCGTTTCGCTCAAGAACTAAAATGAATAAACAAATACACACATGAACAATAAAAATAATCTATATCATCTTAATTAAAGAAGTTATTATTATTTATAATTAAAATATTAGGTTTTAAATTTATAAATACAATTCTCATATTCAAATATTGTTAAAATTTTTAAATATAAATTAAACCTAATTTTAAGGTCGTCATATATCAAAACCATAAGACTAAACCTAAGCCCTTAATTTAAGTAAATTAATATATTTTATATCTGCTAACAATAACGATAAATCTATATAATTAAAATATTTCAATCTAAAAATAGCAAACGATATTTTAAACAAATATCATATTCTATTCAATAATTTCTCCATCCTACTATATAATATATCTCTAATCTTTTAAAATTGAACATGTTATATTTGTATATTAAAATTAACTTGTTGATTTTTCAAAAGAAATTCTTTTTAACTTAATGTTTAGTGAATGATATTTTTAAAATGTTTTAATGACATTAAAAAATATATTTATTAGTTAATAGCATTGATTAAATATTAAGTATATATTGTAATCAATGTTAATAGGTAATTTCGTCATTGTAAAAAAAGAAATTCAATTCTTGAATATGCAAAAATGTTATGTAATGGTGAACACTTGAGTATTAGAATGTTTTATAATTATCTTTTGAAACCTAATTCAATAAGATATTTGCTTAGATCTTATAAATGTATAAATTAAGTTACCTAACTTAGCAAATTTGTATACCTACTTCATATTTTTGTAAGAAAAAATCTGTGTTAATTAACCGAAAAATATTAGCTTTCTGAAGTGAGCTGTAAACATTAAGAAACGATTTCCGAGTAAATATTTAAAAATAAAAGAAAGGATCTTAAAATACTGCTATGAGGATGAGACATATTTAGACTCGTATAAATAATATTTCATGTTGATTTTGATCCCAAATATGTTATAAAAAAATCAGGAAAATAGCTTTGCTAATAATGAATTTTAACCATATCGCAATGTTGAGTTAGGATCACTGTAATTATGAATGGGTTAAATTTGAATTCAATGAATTTATCATTTTAAACAAAAACTATTCTAAGCAGAAAGCCAGAAACAGTAAGACAGTCTTTACTATTTTCTAGTTTTAGATTCTGATCAAAGCTACGAATGTTTTATTTTGATAATAATGCCATTACTTTCGTATGAATCTTACCATATTTTGGATTAATACAATAACTGCTTCAATTTAGTTTATGATTACAAATCAGATCTAGCTTATTTAAAAAAAAAAAAAAAACAATTTTGTTTTAATTCAAAATTGAGTAACTTTAGAGACTTAAATTTTTCTTAAAATATATATATATTAGAATTTTTTAGATAATATGAAACAAGCTTAAAATATTTTACCATTTTTATGGGTGGATATACATCTAAACTGATTTGTACCTGAGGTCATCACACTTAAATCGAAATACATTTAACAGTATACGCTAAACGCTGTATACAATCACTGAAACGAATTGCAAACTCAATAGATTCAAATTTGAATTATGTGAATTTTTTCAAGCAACTTTGACCTTTAAAGTTTTGCTCTATCTTCAAAATTGACTGATTGAGAATGAGTTAAATTTTCGATTTATAACATTTGTATTTATCGTATTTTTCAATAGTCTACTTAGAGTTTTACAAATTTATAAGTGATTTCGTATGAATTTTTTTTTAAAATTAAGTATACCATCATAATTACAATTAATTTACATTAATTCTACAGAAATTTTAACTCAAATTTCTTGTAAATGGTATAATTTTGATTAATTAATTAAACAAACTAACACATATCCTATTATTTTAATTCAGTTTTAAAACAAATTTTCATTTTATTGAACAATTAAATTATGTACAGGTGAGTTTTGATTCAATTTTACAATTCATCGTATAAATTACTCGAAGCTGTTACCGTTATTTGTAATGCATGCTTCACACCGTCGCAATACTTCTCTGTGTGTTGCAGAAAATATTTGTTCCTCGGTTAACTGTGCACACGCAATAATTATTTTATTTTTCAAATCTTGAAGATCATTTGGTGGGTTAGAATAGACAACCGTCTTCAGATGTCCCCATAAAAAAAATCCAAAGGTGTCAAATCTGGTGATTTTGGCGGTCATTGTACTGGTCCACGAGTGCCCATCCATCTATGATTAAAAGTTCTCTCTAAATATTCGCGAACAATTAATGCGTTATACGCAGGTGCTCCGTCTTGTTGAAAAAATAAATGTTCGCGAATATTTAGTAGAACATCTTCCATAAAAATGGTGAGTTGATTAGATAAGAAGTCGAGGTATCTCGTACCAGTCAATGTGCCATCATAAAAATAAGGACCGAGTAATTTGCCACCTACAAGTCCACACCAAACGTTTGTTCCCCATACGTTTTGAAAATTAGTATCGTTTGTCCAAAATGGATTACTATCAGACCAA